AGGTACCCGTCGACCATCCAGGAGCATGTCCAGCAAGGGCCTTTGGCAGGGCTGAAGCCAGACGAACAAAACGAAGCCTGGGCAATTCGAACTCGCTTTGAATTCCTATCTGCCGCAAAGATCGTCCTCTAGATGTCCTTAGTTGACGCACCAGAGGCTGGGTACCGTACCCCCATAACGAAGGATGCAATGTCCGCCGCGTGACGAGCCGGGAAGACAGAAGACGACTCGAAGGTTTCGAGATGCTATATGCATCATAGTATCAACAGGGACAGGGCAAGGTAGCCGTCGATCGCGACGTCTGCTTTGGGCCCTCTGGCCCACCGTACCAGCTCTCAGCATGCTCAGTGCGTCGCCCGGGGCCTCTGTCGTGGAGAGTTGTTAGCTTGTTCAATGTCGGCGGCGCAGTCGAGGGAGGCCCAGGCCTGCCAGCCATTTGGGAGATCGCACGGGTGGCTTGCCGCCACCCAGCTCAGCTGCCTGGATCCGTGCTCGCTTAGGCACCGTAGCCTGGGATGCTTGCATCGATTGGTCCTGGCACAGATGACGTTGCGGGCGGACAGGGCGCGACACGGCGACCAGGTAAGGGACAGGGACGAGAATACGGTGACAATGGCCAGGTGGTGGCGCCTTCTGGAACCTGGCATTTCGAAAAATAGCGGCTCACATGGCCAGGCGCCTCCTTCTGGTCCACGACGGACGCAAAGTTCCTTCCTTTTTGCGTCTCGTCGTGTTGTCGGGCAATGGGTCGAGGTCGCTCTTGCCACAACTGGGAAGCCAGGCTTCAGCACCGCAGCTTCCGCCTGTGCCGCCGCTCGCCAGACTCCCCATCGCGGGCAAACACCGTCGTCTGACCTCGATGACATGGTACGATCAGCCTTTGGAATCACCTCTGCGCCCCTCATCCGCGCACACATCGACGCGTACGCTGTGCAGCAAACCGTTGAAGCATGTACGTACATGCCTCGGAACTCGGAAGTCCACCTGAACGCACGCCTGTCGTCATCCCAAGTGTGACAGAGTGCCCCGTGCGGCACCCGCGCGATCCAAGCTTTGTTTGCCTGACACAACGGGAAGATCCTTTCGACCCCCAACCCTCTTGGACTCCTCCCCCATGACCGTTGTGGAAGGTCGACCGGCACTAAACTGTTCGGACGCCCAGGAAGCCGCCAGCAATCCGCGCAGCCAATCGCTCTGCGGCACATTCGCGACGACCAGGCGGTGCAGCCACCCGCTGTGATGGAGTGCGCTCCCAGATTGCGGCGCTCAATAGGCTGCCGAACAGACACCCACCGCTGCTGCCCCAGCGACTCCCTGCAGGTCGGGTGGTGTTTCTGCCAACTAGCAGGTCTCCACTGCCCACGCACCAAGGGCAATGCACGTTCGGACGATACCCCAGAATCCCAGATGCTACGGGTGCCTTGACGTTGATGAGTGCCGACGGTATCGCGAACCGGCTGGCTGTCCTTGGGCCAGGCCAAAGCCAAACAGCCCCCTTGCCCTAACACGAGCCACGGCTGATGCTCATTGCACGAGCCAGTCGCAAATGACTTCTCTGGGAAGAGTTTGCTCGCCTGCTCAAGCGGCAACAATGTCGGCAAATATGTGGAACTATGGAAAGCTGGACAGCTGGGTTGCGCGGAGTCGCTGACCCTGGTGCCCTGAAAAGTGCTAAATTGGGCAGCAGATCGCCGCCACAGCTTGTTTGTCCCCGCCGACCCGTCCAGGCGGAGACGGACGATGTGGTGCCTGTCAAGAGCACGGGGGCCGCGAACTCCAACCGCTGGTACATACCTGGGTACGTTCGGTCACTGGAAGGATGAGTGGATGCGCCCTGATGTGTCCTGCGGCTCGAAGTTCGGCATCATGAATATGGTGAACGCATCAGCCTAGGCCCTCTGCGCAGAACAAAACAGGTCGAGTCGCGGTCACGAAAAAGCCGCACGTTTACCGCCCAAAACACCACAGACTGCCAGCCAAGATCGAATTGGCGCTCGGCCATGGCTGCTCACATGTGCCAAACGCCCGGCTTGGTGCTGCCCCATCTCATCTCGTGCGAGGCTCAGTTTCGCGGCGAGCAGGGCTGCCCCATACCACGAGAACGAGGCCAGTTGCAAGGAACGGAGTGACTGCGGGACCCATCAATGGTTTGACGGACATGCCCGTCAGATTCATCCACAGCTGATCATCATGGCTTCTTGTCGGGACGACGTCAAGTGACAGGGCAGGACCAAGGCGTTGGCACCTACTTCGTAGTAGTAGCAAGCCGATCGCCATGGGCATGCATCCTTGAGAGGTGCCTGTTTTCGAATCCGCCGACGAAGCGGTAACTTGCAGGATGTCGTTTCCCCGTGACGGATACGTGAGCGTGAGCTCTGAGGCTGGCAACACGGCCGAGCGCGGAGCCGGAGATGCAGCATGCCATGATGCAGGCATGACTGATTGACGCCTGCCAGAGCGCTGATCAGCTAATTAGCCGTTCAAGACCGAGAGGAGAGTGGCTTTGGAGCACACACCTGGAGCTCCGCGGCGCCGGCCCAGCGCCCGGTTTTGCCGTTTGCCTAAAGACACCACAGGCTGTACTCGTCCGCCTCTAGCAGACCTTGCAGGCCGAGCAGAAGACCGACACACAACTAGTCTGCCTGGTGGAGATTCGCCGCATAGCTTCACAGAGGACACCGGCGCCACTAAGGTGGCCGGCGGTGGACGAGTGCCATCTTCGAGACACAAGAAGGTGGCCAGACGTCGTGAGGCCGGCAGCTCTGCTCGGCTCGGCGGATACCAGCTGCCAGGTCGTCGCGCATTTGCACATCCGTCACCTCAAAGTTGGCAAAGGGGCGAGGCCACGGCAGGGTGAGTCTTGTGAATCAAGGAGAGCACATCTCGCTACCATGTGTCGGTGTCGTCGCTGGCGTCCTCCCCTTCTTCCCCTCACGGAACATCCGAAACATGCCCGAGTCCGGCATGACAGCGCGATGAACTCCGACCCAGCTGTCTAGATCGTCTCATGGGCTATCAGGATGGTATGGGCACACATCGGACGCTGACGGATGCGATCCAGGGTGTTGCTCACGGGGTCGGGATGGAACCCCGCAGCGTCCTTGAGGTCGCAGGGCCAAGCCCGGCATAAGATCAGCTCGACAATCCGGTCGCACAGGGCATTGATCCACGGCCCCTGGAAAGGAGATCGTCGTCTCGAGTTGCGCCGGCCTTCGGGGAAGGGCGGGAGGGGCTGCCTGGCCTCGGATCCCAGGTTTCGAGCACGACGGCGCAACTGACAGCAGCAAGGGCCCCTGGGCCGCGACTGTCGAGCACCAGGACAGAGCCAGCACCTGAGTGCCCTGCTGGACCAGGCGAACGCCGCCAACGTCAAAGGGCGGCGACGACGTTGGTGTGGCGGCCTTGAGGAGCAACTGCGGACCGACTTATCAATGGAGGCGCTCCTGTGACGCCGGCCAGCCTCCCACCACCAGGGTGCTGTTGCAGCCGCAGCACTAGAAGGCGGGAGAAGAGGGATCGCGGCAGCTCGTCGATGATGTGGCGGCAAGGAACAGGGGGGGCAGGGGCTCGGTGGCTCACGTTTCCTGGGACGCATTGCATTGAACACACCCACTCGACCGTTTGACCACGACAGCAGCTCGACAATGGCTGGTGGCCTTTGGCGCAGGCTGCCGCACCACCACGACGAGCCCTAGCTCCGTGCCCGCCCTCTGCCACGCCCCCCTTCGGGATACCTGCTCGCACGCCTGCCATCTGCTCAGGCGCTGGCTCTTGGGGTGCTTGGCTCCTGGGGCTTGGTGCCACCACCCACGCGGCCAACGGGCGGGTCGCGGCCACCTCGATCTCAATCCGCGGCGAGGAACGGATGGGGCCACAGCGCACGCCCTCCCCACTGTTCCGTTCCTACATCCAGGGTTCCTACATGCTTCGTACAACTGATGGGCCAACCCCCCGCCACCCCGGCCGCCGCCACCCCCCAAGCCAGGCCACCCGGCCGGGTCGCTGGGGCATCGACGTTCATCGCAACGGAACGGCGACTGCCTTTCTTCGGCGGCGGATGTCATGTCGACGCGGCGTGTCCACACGCCCCTCTCTGTTCCCCGAGTCGTTTCGTATGGGCGGCGGTCGCGCTTCTGGGTCATTTCATCCCAGGTTTCCGCTGTGCCAGAGTCGTGCTCGGCCCACTGCTGCCAAATTTTGTGACAGGCGTGCCTGCTCCAGAGCCAAGCGCACCCTGTCAGGGATCATCGTGGGTGCGATGCCCATCCAGATCTGATGTTCAGTCTCCGCCTTGCCTTTAGCCTTGTTTTTGTCTGCGGGACACCCGTCAGCCATACTTATACTTGGTTGGCCCCCATGGTCCCAGTCGCCGGGACTCGATCCGGACCTCCAACGCTCACATAACTCTCAACTACGACTATCACCACTATTACTTCGCCATCGTTGACCTGCCGACTGTTGCACTCGGTCGACGCCTAGCAACTCTACTGCCGCCAACTAAAGCTTGCCACATACCCGCCGCCGACGTTCACATACTCACCCACCTGGATCCTCTGTCGGCGACCTCCCTTGGTCTGCGTCCGACACAGCACCACCATCTCTGCGCTGGCGCGTCGATATGGCCACGCCGTTGATACCTTCCCAGTACACAGTGCCGCATAGTGGCCACTATCGCAATTCTCGAGTACCTCAGCCTCCGCCTTCGCCCCCCATGGAGGACTCACGGTGTTCCCTGCCATCCATATCCAAGCTTCTTGGGTTGGCGGATGCCGGATCGCCCACCGGCGAGTCATCACCAACGTCTCAGTCAGATTCATCACGATATGAAGGTAAGATATCTTGGGCAGCTGTTGCCTGGGGTCAGTTGGTGTTGACACTGTTCTGCGGCAGCCACAGCCTCGCCCTCGCAGCATGGCAGGCAAGATTCCTTGTACGACAGCCGCCCGGCGTCGAGTTATGCAAAGGCACCCTCACAGAGGGGAATGCCTCCGACGCCACCCATGGCGGCGGATTCAGCATTTGACAATTACAACTCTCCGTCGATCAAGGCGATGAACCAGTTTCCCAGCATCAATGCCTCTGGCCGGTTCTACGAAACCACGCCTCCGCTCGACAATGACGTTCGACGACAGCAGGCGCCGACCAGCAGGACTGCACGGCCGGCACTGCAAGTTTCTTGCCCTCCCCCTCGGCAATCGTACTCGGCGAGTCCCTTCGGGCAACAGCCGCAATTGAGCAGCGGCTACTACACGAGCACACTCCAGAACGCGGCCTCATGCCACCCACAAATCTCAAACCTCTATTATCAGCAACCGTTGCCGCAATCATTCCCACCGTTGTCCGTTCCGGTTGTACTGGCGCCATCGTCAGGCGCGAACCCGTGGCAGCACCACCACTATCTCACGCCGTCACACGGGGCCGCGTACCCGCAGAGCCAGGACCGGTACATCTGCCAGACTTGCAACAAAGCCTTTAGCCGACCGAGCAGTCTCCGCATCCACAGCCACTCGCACACTGGAGAAAAGCCTTTCAAGTGCCCGCACGCAGGATGCGGCAAGGCGTTTAGTGTTCGCAGCAACATGAAGCGGCACGAGAAGGGCTGCCACAGTTTCGAAGTCGGCACGGGGAGGCCCGCAAACGCCGGCTAGGCAGAGAAAGCGGGCCCTCAGGTGCAGGATACAGGGTGCCCTTGCGCCGGGTATGCATTCAGGGGCATGTCGATGCCAGAGAAGCGACGACCGTAGGCGCAAGTTGGCTTTTTCATTTCTATGTGTTGATGCGCTCTGGGTGCAACTCCTTTGGTCCATACTTTCTACATACCATTACAGGCTGGCGGCACGGACTGGGGCCGACCGGGGGGCGAGATGCAAAAGGCGTCACAATGGGTTTGGGACTGAGTTTGGGCAGGCTAGATGAGTATGGCCCGCATTTGCAAGGCGTTTTTTGGTACGAGGACAGTCGGCCCCCAAGGGAATATACCAGATACAGATGCTCCAAGACAAAACCAGTTGTACAGTAGCAATGACGATGTCAATGACCTTGACTCCTGACTCGTGAACGCGGGGGTGGATGGCACAGGTGCGGCGAAAGGCGCAGTCAGCATCCCTGGATGCCCGGGCCTCGAGGGCCGGCACTCAGGAGGAACGAGTCGGGGCGCCGGACACGCCGCGCGATTGATGGTCACGCCAAGGGCCGGTGGTTCCTGGCGGCAGTTCGACAGCGACAGAAGACGCTGGATTCAGGTCGCGGTCGCGGGGGAGCATGGATGGCACGGTGACTCGCTTCTGGGATTCAAGGCCGGAGGGGGGTGCGGTCCGAGTCATGAGCTACCCATAATACAAGCTTGGCCGCGCATACGGAGCAACCACGCGGGCAGGGAAGAAGCAGCTAAACGGATGGGCCGAGGAGGAGCCTGTGCGCACGCACGCGGTGCGGCTGCGTCGACGGCCGGACGGAGTGAGTGCCGGCAGATGCACGGGGCAGGGATGGGCCCTTTTGTTGCTGCTTCCCCGGGATGTTCAATCGTCACCGTCACCCCCCATGGCCGTTGCTGCTTTGTTCCTTTTTTTGCTCTTGTGTGTGTGTGTGTGTGTGTGGCGTGATGTGGTGCAGGCAATATGTCCTCCGTACAATTATTACCGTCCGTTATTGCGTCGAGTTTCTCTTATCATCGAAGCGCCACGCAGGCCTTCTCCTGGGCGTGTTTGGGACTGAGACACGTCTGGGGTACGGGGCATTTTACCTGGGACCTCATCCGCCGTGGAGTGGGCGGCAGCAGCCAGCCACCTAGAGCCATTGCCTCGTGGTGTGGCTGCGACGCTGCGACACGCTCTGTGTAAGCCATGAACCCTTCCTCTCCGCCGCAACGAATTGACGCGCTTAACCCGGACAACTTGTTCCCTGACTGGCATACGTACTACTGCTCTATTGTTTACTTTGCGATTCAGTGCGCAAAAAAAAAAAGTCCGTGCAGCGCCTATATAGCCTAATAATCGCCCGTCTCATCGGGCGAGGGAGCTGTCCGGGACAGGGCATCGACGTGGAATGGAGCGGGCTTGCAACAGGTGCGAGGCTCGTGCTGAGGTGGGCTTGGCTGGGCTGGCCTGGTCGCGTGCGGCGGCTCGCCTTGGCTACCTAGCTATAGAACCCTGACGGCTACGACGCTGATGGTTTGTTGGGCTCGTTGCGGCAGATGGACAGACGGATTGACGGACAGACAAGTGGGATGGGCAAACGTAAGTGTGGTGGGCTTTCCGGTTCGGATCAAGGGATGTGTGATGCGATGGATGTGCACGCGCTGGCAGGACGTCCGTCGGGTCGGCAGTTGGGGGATCTGCCGTCGCAAGATGGCGTGAGGTTCTGTGCGAGAGCGCGAGATGGAGATGCCGATGAGGTGGTTCTGCTTCGATGCTGCTTCATGCACTGTGCGGCGGTGTTCCCTTGCAGCGACCTGCGTGTTGGTTCGCTCGGGGGCGCGCGCAAAGACCAACGCAAGCCAACCCCGGTGACCGGGCGGCTTCCATCTGGGTTGACGACTCTGTTAGGTGGTATTTCGGTGTTGGCCACCTGGGAGCTGGAAGGGCCCCTACGAGTCCCTGGACGGCCGGCTCACGCACATGCGCACAGCGACGGATGCTGTGCTGTTGCGCGCGAGCGCGTGCACATCATCGGGCAGGTCTTCCAAGCTTCCAGGTTTCCATCGTCCATCGCAGCGGGCGCCCGAGCCAGCGGCCCAGCCAACTGGCGCCGGCGCCGGGGCGGCGGGCCACAATCCCACGCCCCTGGGTCAGTGCTGCCACCAGCACCACCTCACCCCCTGTAAGTGGGCTGGCCAGGGCACCTAGGGCAGGGCAGGCCAAGGAGCCCGGGTGATTTTGATGATGCTGGTCGCTGATCCGCCTCCGCCGCGGGGCCTTTTTTTGGTCCTTGGGCTGCCCCCTGGGTTCTCGCGGTTTGCCGACACGAGTACCCGCCCGCGCCGCCGGTGTGCAGAAGCCACGCCAGGGCGGACTACGTACGTTGCGTGCTCGTAGGTCCTGATAGCCTTGATGGGCGGCATCCATTGTTCTGCGGCGGCGGCGGCGACGACGGACAAAATATCGGCAGACGCCGGAGGCTGATACTTTGTTGCCTCTCCTTAGTCCCCCGCGAGAGCCGCCGTCTCACGTACGTGTACTCCGTACACACGATCAATGACCGGGCGGCGCGCCCGAAGAAGCCATCGTTTGGAATTGGGTAGCGCACGTGTCGTCTGCGAGGGAGCACTGGTTCGTGGAATCGGTTTTCGACGTCTTGACACGCAGACCACCACCACGAGCCAGCAGCAGCAGCAGTCGCGGCATCAGCATCAGCAGTAGTAAGGTAGTTGGCACCGGCGGCAGCGCGCGTGGCGGCTTACGAAGGGTAGGTAGGGGGGTGCGAATACCAGGCCCGCATCATGGTCCAGCAAAGCAACCGCCAGACCGCAGACGTAGATGTAGACTAGATCAAACCCGGGGGCCCAGGTGACTGACGATGCTGTGGAATCGTCTACAACAAGCGCCTAATTACCTGCGAGGGAGAGCAACATGTCAAGCAAGCCTGACTGCTCTGTCTGTCCATCATGCCACTTTAGCTTCTTCCAACCCTGAGGAACCGAGGCAAGAAGCTTGCCTTGCACAGCCACAACAAGGAAGTGTCTGGCGCGCTGCTGCGCGAGTGAGAATCAGAGGCAAAATGATGGAAACAACCACTGAGGCTACCAAACTAGCTCTGGCGCCCGACGAAACCAGCAACGAAACGGCAACTCGTACAGCACTACGTACTCTGCAAGGACAGAATGTCACCGCGTCCCCATCCTGCGTGCGGCTCGTCTAGCCGTGAAGGGCAGCCAACGCGCACGTGCGGAGCAGAGTCCGGACGAGGCGACGCGCGCGCGCGCGGTGATTCGATAGCCCTGCTGGGCGAGCGGGCGAAGGGCGACTCGGAGCCGAAGGGGAAGAGCCTAAAGGCAAAATAGGGGGCGAGTCGGCCGGGAGAGTCGAGGCGATCTGCTAGTCGAGTCGAGTCGAGACGAGCCCCCCGAGCTGAGTCGTCGAGCGAACTGACGCACACACACAGACACTCGCACGCACACACCAGCGACCCCGAATCTCCCGGGTCGGGCTCGCTGGCGGGGTCAGGTCATGGTCGAGTCAGGGACGCCACCCGGGGAAGCGAGGCCAGGCGATGACGGAGGCCGCAACAGCACCCTCTGCAGAGGCACCTACAACCTACGTGCTACAGAAGGCTTGCAGGCTCTCACGCGCCAGCCGCCAACGGGGCTGCAGGGGGTGGCTTTGCTTGGTCCCCTGTCGCCGCGCGCGGGGAGCGTCGGGTTTTCCGGATTGGCCGGGTGAGCATTTATCACCCAGTACCTTTTTGTACCGAACGCCTTCTTCTTCACCGCTCTCCCGCGTCGTGTCCGCACATGGTGTGTGAAGGTTTTGCGTCTTATTAACCTGCAAGGGGGGCTGGGCTAACTGGGGAGGGAGCCCGCTGGGGATCGCAACGGGATGGGCATCCTTCCAATTTGGCGACATGGCGAGAAGACCGGACGATGATGACCAGCAAGCAAGCACCAGGTTCCGATCCTCACTCTCCGAGAGAACAACCTTGGAAGGAAAAGAGGAGCCGAGATTTGCGGCGGGGCGGGGCGGAAACGGGGGTGGGAGGGGAGAGAGGGAGGTGCCTGGTGGGTGGAGAGGGGGGGCCGGCGGGCGATCGCCAACCCAGACGGTTGGGACAAGACGGGGGTCACTGGAGATACAAGTTGCCGCTCTGGCTCAACTTTTTTTTCGGCGCACCCAGTGCTAGCCTCTAGGCCAAGGTAAGGTAACCAACCTCCCGTCCTGCCTGCTGGAGCACCACAATTAGTGGAGGTATTCTTAGTAGTGGTTTAGCTGCCGGCGCTGTCAGTTCAGTGCCCATTTACACTTTTAGCATTTAGCCGAGTCTCGCTTTTTCGTCTGTGATCTGGTGATGGTGATGCCAGACAGCAAAGGCCACTTGTGTCATGGGAGTGAAATGGAGTCTCTCGCAGCTCGTCTGCCGAGTCGCTCCCGAGCGCCGCCGCCGCTGCCAGGTGTCCCACAGCGCCCGCGTGGCGGGTTTGGTGCCTGGGCTGGCGGCGCCCCACGACGATGATTCGCTCGCACATGGCTGCCCTGAGGGCCCTGCCAACCGCCGCCGCCTGCGCGCGCGCGCGGTGGTAGGTGCGCCCACGTTCAAGGTTGAACCCTGAAACAGACAGACAGCAGCGCAGCACGCACGCCACGCCATGTGCGTGTGAGGCGCGCCTATACGAGCAGGGATTCGAGAGCGAGGCGCAGACAGGGTCGCAGCATCTATCTGTCCTGTGATATCGGGGCTTCGCGCGATTGGCGCAGGCATTAATTATAATTTACAGCGCCCAAAGCCGCAGCAGCAGCAGCAGCGACAGCTCAGGCAACCTTAGCCTGGACACCACTGACGATTGGTACTATAAGCCAGGTTTCCTCTGGCGTCGGCAACTCGTCTCCATTATACCACACTCGAGGCCCATACCACCGTGCATCATATACATTATACGGGCACCCTGCTGCCGCTGTAGCAGCCTGCCTGCCTGCCCAGCCCAGGTAGCTGTGCGCCC